GTGGCTTCATGGTGGTGGGTGGGGCTTGTGCGTGAATAGTGCAATGGGACAGGGCTGGTTATGGGGCAGGGTTGGTTATAGGGCAGGGTTGGTTATGGGCAGGGCTGGTTGTGGGGCAGGGTTGGTTGTGGGGCGGGGCTGGTTATGGGGCAGGGCTTAGGGCACCTGTAGGGAGAGCTTGGGGCAGTCCCAGGGTGTCTCAAAGCTGGGCCTGTGGGTGGGGCTTAGATGGGTGGGGCTTGGGGTTGTAGGTGGGGTGAGGATGGGGGTGGGTTTGCACAGGTGAAGCAGGGGCGGGGCCCTGGGGCAGGGGGCGGGGCCCAGGCCTTGAGGGCATGTCCTGGCACTGGGGCGTGGCCTGTCCAGGGGTGTGGCCTGTTCCAGCCATGGCCCGGCTGGGGGTGTGGCCATGGGGGCGTGGCCGGGCAGAGGGCGTGGCTTCTGCCAAGGCACAGCCAGCGGTGGTTGGAAGGGCGGGGCTGGGCCGGGGGCGTGGCCCGTGCTGGGGCGTGTCTGGGCGTGGCTCTCACCGCTTGGAGCCCTTGGCGAACTCCACGTTGATGCTCTTGCCGTCGATGTGCAGCGGGGGGTGCAGGGCCTGCAGCATCTGCAGCAGCTGCGCCGCCTCCTGAGGGGGGTTTGGGGGGGCCCCACGGTCACAGTGGTGGGGTGGAGACCCCAAACAGGCCCTGGTGTCCCACCCACCCCACGCGAAGCACTCTGGAGACAGCCCCGTGTGGGGCACCCCAGGGACAAGGGCCGGGTGTCGGGAAGGGTTCGGGTGTCTGGGAACACCCGGCTGCCTCAGCCCCCTCCCCAACAGCGACCGGCCCTCCCGGGTCCCCCAGCCCCCCAGTGATGGTGGTCAGGCCCCCAAACCCCCCCCAGTGGTGACCAGCCCCCCAGGCCCCCCTCAGACCCCCCCCAGGTCCCCCCAGGCCCCCACCACGATGGTGCTGAGCTGCACAAAGGCGAAGCCGCGGTTGAGCTGCGTCTGCCGGTCCTTGATGACCCTGACGTTGGCGGCCGAGAGGGCGGCGAAGGGGGCGAGGGCGGCCAGGATGGACTCCAGGCTGCTCTGGGGGTGCAGGTTCCGCAGGATGATGGCTGAGGGGGGCAGGGCAGGGGGACACACACACACACAGTGTCAGGGGGAGCCAGGTTTGGGGGGGCCCAGGTGTGCAGGAACCCCCCAAGGCTCTAATAACACTCTCAAGACCCTCTTAAATCTGTCTTTAGGCTCTTCAGGACCACCCCCCTCCAGTTCCAGCTCCTCCAAACCCCCCTCAAGGCCCCCAGTACCCCCCAAATTCCCCCTGGATTTGCCCACAGACCCAAAGGGCCCCCCATGCCCCTTCCAACCCCCTAAACCACCCCAGGACCCTTCAAGATCCCCCTGTGTCCTGCCAGCCTCCACTAATCCATCCCAAGACCTACCAAGTACCTCAGAAAACCTCCAGGACCCCCATCAGCCCCTTCAGCCCTCCCTAGACTCCCCCCAGAGCCCCCAGGTCCCACCTCACCTCTTCCAGAACCCCCCAAAACCCCCCTACGCCCCTCAGGACCCCCATAATCACATCAAGAACCCTTGAGATGTTCCCAAATGGCCTCAGAACCCCAAAGACCATCACAAAAATGCCCTTAGCCCCCCAACCCCCCCGAGGGTCCCCCCAACTCACTGTCGTTGGCGTTATCGGCTCCGGGCTCGGTGCCCCCCTGGGACCCCCCAGGGGGCCCCCCCAGTGTGGGGCCATAGGACTGGGGGAGGGGCAGCAGCCCCCCCCCCTCCCGGCACCAGCTCCGGCCGTGGCCCCCCCCGGGCCC